TTTGATTTGTTTGATTGAACCCCTGCAAGCTTTACTTACAAGATTTCATCTTCACTCAACTTGTGTCAATTTACTCAAGTCATTCACTCAACCCAATACTAACTCAATCCATTTCACTGCACATCAACCTACCCAACCCAACCCAACACAACACAACACAAACCTATACTAATCCAATAATAGCACCTCCTCTTAATTCTAAATCTCTGTACGTCTGGATGACTAATTCGAGAATATCTCTCCAGTACTCGATGGTATTTAGCGTATGTATGTGTAAAAGAGTCTTTCGGGCACTTATATCCTCTGGGAGGCCGTTGAGTAAGTACGCCTGGCTAGCCAGTGTCTGCTTGGCCTGATGGCTTTCGTCTGGCTGGAGCTGGCCGTACAAATGTACTTCTACTCGAGGCATGGCTAGGATGCGCAGCAGCAGAAGAAGCAACTTAAAAGATGCCTGACCATATTCTAAGCATAGGCCCAGAACAACCATAGGCGCCTGGCCTGTGATCCTTTGTAGGGGAGTCAACCCCTCGAAACATCTGTTGTACTCGGTTTCTTTCCACGACTTAGGAATAATAATACATTGAATTGGGTTATATGCTGAGTCATTACTTAGTGCCATTTTCTCTGGATTAAGCATAAGAATCCACTGGAGAGTATTGTCTTGGGTTTGGTGGGGCAACCAGATGTGGTCAGCTGGGTCATTAATCATCTGTAGGAGCTGTAGTTGTGCGACTATTGGCTTGACTTCAGATGGTACTCGTACAAGCGTTATTGGTGTAGGTGGTGTAGTTAGTGGTGTAGGTGGTGCGGGTGCTGTTGGGTTAGATGGCGTGGGTGGATTGTTCTCTTCTACTTGAATTGCGGAATCCACTGGGTCTACTTCCATGCGCCCACTCGCCTGGCCTATTGGGTTAGGGAGAGAAGAATCCGACTGCGCTGGATGCTCTGCACCACTACAAGCCACCTTCATATCCAGCCACCCCGACCATAACATCTCAAATAACAGAGCACTAGCCCAAAGATAAGATCTCCTAACGCGTATTGCTTTTAAGAACTTGAACATGCGAATTTTCTATCTCTTCTATCCTTTTAATTTGTTATCTCACTATTCCTTGATCATTTTGATCTTTTCAAACCCAAACCCAACCCAATCTGACTATCTCACTCTTCTCTCCCACAAACCATCCTAACCCAACTCAACCCAACCCAAACCCACATTAACACTGCACACATAACCCAACACCAATACCAATACCAATACCAATACCAATACCAATACCAACTCCTATTTCTTATCTCTAAATCCTCTTAAATTTCAAAGACAATATTCACTATACCAATACTAACTAGACTTTTATTAAGTTGAGTTGGCATTAAGCGACACTGTCGGATAACCTTCCATAAACGTCATTTTAATATCGTATTTTTCGCCGACCAACTTAAGGAAGGCGCCCCAAAGCACATGATCACATGCACTAATGATATTAATAACAAGTTCGCTCTTTTTCAGCTTCGCGGGGATATCCTTCAGTAAAGGTTTAAACCTATCTATTGATTTCGCATCAAACGAGGACATATACACGTCTAGCCAGTCTATTTCGATTGTAGGACTATCCGCAATCCGCAGTAGAAACAATAGCAGCTCAAGTTGGTCTAGTATCACCTTTTTCGCTGGCCCCCCGACAATCCTTATCGGATTCGGACTAGTGATCTTTTTCAGGGGTTGTAGGTCTTCTAGACACTGTTGGTAGGTTATCGATTCCTCATTTGGGTTAGTACTAGTTGGCTTGAAAGTTGAGTTGGGGGTTGGGAGAATATGAAAACTGTTAGTTTCTATTTTCAGTGCCTGGCGGCGATATATGGTGGCGACTTTACGTACGCCTGGTATTCCTTTCAATTCATCCAAATAGTCTATTAGTTCATTTGCCTGCATATCTTCTACCACTCGCATTCGATCCTCTATTGAATTCATCTCAAAAATCCAGCCTATGGAGCCATCTGGATTGCGAGATTCTATCAACCGGTTTCCTACCAAAGGATGAACTATTATACCCATCCATTCCAAACAAGCAGTTATTCTTTCCTTCATAATGTGTATTTGGTGTTCTGACATTTCGCTATTGAAGTTATCTAGGCCAGATAAATGCAAATTATCCATTTCTACGCATGGATTACTTTCACCTAATAAACAAGCTGTCTCAGTCGACAATTCGGTATTTGGCGATAACTCCATTTTATCTAAGCTAGTACTGCTATCACTACTACCCAATACCACACCAAACCACACCATAACAAAACATAACCACGCTAATACTAACTTCAAACTCATTCCTGGCATTCCTTTTTCTTATCTCTGCATTTTATTAAATTTCAAAAGCAACCATCACTAACTCAATGCAATAGTAAAACTAAAGCTAAGCCCTATACTAACTCGATAACCGCTACTTGTCAAACCAGAGGTTCGTATTGGGTTCGTATTGGGTTGGGTTATTGTTGGATAGGATAGAGTATACTGGGCCAGAGCAACATACTAACTGTAGTGCTGTCATACGACCACGGCCGCTATCACTATCAACCCACACTGACACAATACTAATACGACCAATTTGACTAGTGGCAAACTACGCACTACTTAGTACTAAACTAATACTAACACGTAACTTCAATACAACTAGGATGCTTGAACTAATTTAGTTTTGCACATCTACGCTAAACATCGATATAATCGATATGACGTCATACTCACTCATGCCTATATTTATTCAATAAATGGTACCCACACCTATCTCAAGGAATCCCTTTAGTAGAGGATGTATTAGTTAAGATGGACTTCGTATTGAGTACTACACAACACAATACCAACACGATACTACACTACACTAACACAATACCAACACAATACCAACACAATACCAACTCAATACTACACTACACTAACTCAATACTTAATTCAATTTCTTATGGTGCTTTCAAAAGAAAAGTGCTACCTTCTCTACTTTGTCTGAAATAGTGGATTCTTTCATTGTTGTAGGTTTAGTCGCTGTCTTATTTATTCGGATTCTTTGTCCGGTCCTGTGTGTCCTTATTGAGCTGGGCTTGCTGCTCTAGCTATGGCCTTTCTTGTGGGTCCTTTTTCTGGATTGGCTTAGACTGAGTAGGGTACAAGAGTTCTGGCGCATAGTACACTTATTCGACTGGCTATGGTCTTTCTCTGAGCTAAAGCTGAGAACCCAAGTAGTGCTTGAGTTGGTTTGAGTTAGTAATGAGTTGTGTATTAGGATAGCGATAGCTGATCAGCAATTCTGACCGGTATACTAATATTGTATTGTCTTTCGAACCGGTTAATTACTTCCTCGAACATTTTGAAGTGCCTTTCTTCTATAACCCACTTAAATCTAAGTTGTGTCCTTTGCGACCCGTTTAGCACCTCTTCAGATGTGGGGTGGATGCTGGCTGATGGTGCTGAGCTGATTGCCGTGCTTGTGTTCGTTTCCCAACGAATTTCGATTACGAAGTTTATCTTGATATTTACTAGAGCTGATAAGAGACTTATTTGGTGGGATTTGGGGTCTGTTGTTATGGACCCGGAAATGCATGTGAGGCCATCGGATTTAATTATTTCCAGCGGCCTGTTGGGTTCTTTCTCTGAATCGGCCCTGTTTGGGGTAGCTGGGCAAGGGCTCAGATAAATAAAACACGCAATGTTCATGTCGTCATCGTAATTATTTGCGTAGATGTTAAATTTCCAGGTGATGTGACCAAGCATGTTCCACATGTCAATATAATTTCTCGCGGTACATTCACTTGAGATGGGGAGCGAGTTTATCTTGAAGTCTTTCTTTAGTTTCTTGACTAATGCTGTCCCGGCAACCTCCACCTTTTTGTTGTATAACTCTTGGGCACTTTCATCGAATATGGTTGGGAGATTCATGTCTATGTATTTCGTCTGAATCTGTTGAAGTCTTGGTCTCCAATAATCGATATCTTCTCTTATCAAAACAAACCACTCAATCGCATAAACTATCCTGTGGTCTGGAATGCTTTCAAGTGCGGATGAAGTACTGAACTGGGAAGCGAAGCAGCTTGCTGAGTCTGTATTGACCAAATAATGTATTTCTATTTCAAGCGGATGTTTATCTTGCAACAAATCTAAGAGTGCTTTCGCTGAGGCGGATTCTTTGTTTTTTGTGGCCCCATTAGCCGTTGGAAAATAATGAGTGGAGACATCTAGAGTATCCTCTATGAGTGTTATGATATTGTTAGATTGAATGCTTTTGATGATTGGGTTTTGGGTACTTGAACTAGCTAGCAGCCAAATCAAGCATTTACTTTTCTTCGAAGCTTTTCTTGAGTTAAACTTAAGTTTCCATCTTGTAAATTGTGCGTTCGTTGCTGCCGTGTTAAGTTCTGTCAAGGTGTAATCGGTTTTCTCGTCAACTATCTCAAACCATTTTAAGCCTGCGATTAATCCTTCTTTAGTCTTCTTTAATTCTGGTTTGAGTGATAGATTAGTTGGATTGGCCATTGCATTTGGCTCCATCTCTTCTTCTGCTATCTCAGTACTTGACTTGCTACCTGTACCACCCAAGACCATACTAATCCCTATCAGAACACAACACAACCAGACATACACCCCCTTTGTGTTTATAATTACCAATTTCTTTACTTGAGTCATGTGAAGCTAATCTTTTCTTGTTAACTTTCATATTTATACTCTCGAAATTAATCTAACCCAATACTAAACCCAATTCTGAACTTAACTGTTATCTAAATACAAGCAATTCTAATTTATAAATCAACTCAACTCAGCCGAGTCCGAGCAAAACTAACCCAAACAACAACTGTATCTAATTTCTATAACCTACACCATATATTGCTACACTATTACCTGCTTTTCTTATCTCTCAATTTTCTTAAAATTCACAAACAACCATCACAATGACAATTGCACTACTAACCCAATACTAATACTAACTCTCGTGTTGGTAAGTGGCTACACGCCGTTTTCAACCAGTAGTACTTCTACCAACACAATACCAATACTAACACAATACCAACACAATACCAACTGTTGTGCCCCAGGGGAGGTATAGGACCTCTCATCCAAATATACTCAGCGAGAGACAAATCATCATTCAGGTTGATGTCGGGTTTATTGATTAGAGGTTCGAGTTGAGGTTCTGGGGTGCGAGTCTGAGTCGTTTCTAAGTCTGATATAGTTCTGTACGAATCCTTCATGTGTCCCCTGGAAGTCATAGGAAGTCTTAGAAAGTCTTTATCAATCTTCGTCGTATATTTATACTCTGAAACAAGTGATAACAAGATTGAGTTGGTTTTGGAATATCTTAGCTTATCTAAAGTAGCAAGGAATAAATATCTACATTATCTGTACTTACTCGTCTAAAAGTAGAGATATCTCGAGAGCCTCATTAAAGATGCGTGGGGGATGGCACGGACACCACACTAACCCAGTTTATTGCCATTAGCAATCAGTAGAAGTGATATTATTTCTGATAAACTTGATGGAACGTGTTTTTTTGAGATTATCAAAAACTGGCTGCCAGAAATCAAGATGTTCACTTATACAAATATCAAAAAGTATTCCACAGATCTCGGCATCTTCCGGGATATCCTCTGGCTTGCGGATGGTTGGAGGTGTAGTTTCTTCTTTAAGGCTGCTATAATTCACCCATGTTACTCGGATTTGAAGAGAGGGGTGTGTATGGTAAAAGCACTGCAGTATAATATTAAGATTGGGTGATCTTTTATCCGTTATTGCCCCAGAAACCACCAGATCTTCTTCAATTTTGGACAATTCGATCAATTCAGTCGGAAAAGCTCGCTGGATTTTCTCTTTTAGGCCGGCCCGATTGTGAGGTTTGGTCAGATAGAAGAAGGTAATACTGCAATTGTTATCGCCAGTATAGGGCGTGTCTGGATTGAGTTTAAGCTTCCAGGTTTTAAAGCCAATTCTCTTCGTCATACCATTATACAGAGTCAAACTGTAATTTGTTGTATCATCAACTATTTCGAACTCTTTTAGCCCATTAGCCACCATTTTCTTCTCTAAATCTCTCTTGAGTAGTTTTTTGGCCATAGCAAACACCCATTTGGTGTATTCATCCATTGGAGGTGTGTTAATATACGCAATTATATCATCATACATGCCAGTTGCTCCAACCAAGCTAATTACAATCAGAGCACAGTATAGCGACACAAACTTTAAGTTCATTTTTAACAGTGCGTTTCTTATCTCTTATTGGATTGGGTTTTAAAAGCAGCCATCACAATGATAATTGCAATACTAACTCAATAATAACTCAACACTAACACTAACACTAACACTAACTCAATACTAACTCAAACAAAATACAGCATATACTATTCAAAACCTAAGTGAGTTTATTGGGTAGATTGCGCAGATACCGACTTAGCAAACTTGTTAGAAGAACAGATTGTCACAAAGTTCTTGGCATGTTGGCGCATGTAGGCAGCTAAGTCATTTTTGGTAAGACTGGCAACCATGGCTTGGGTTTTGGCTGCGGCTTCCAGACCTTCTTCAATGTCTTCCCAATAAAAGCATACACTCTTGGCATAGCCGGTAATGTTAGCAGGCTTTTGTTTTAGATCGGTTATAAGAGACACCTTGTGCTTCTCGAAGTCCTCATCAGAGAGACCGGCAATGTGGCTGCTTATGGTTTGGATAAAAGCCTGTATGCGGGACTCGGTGTGGGCTAAGTCTTTTGACCCCTGGACAATAAAGGCAAGATGCCAGTCCTTATTGCGACCACTAGTGAGGTGGCTGCCAACAATGTACCCAAGCTCTTCTTTGGTTCGGAGCTGAGTGAAGAATGCCTCTTCTTCGATTTGGCAAATCAATGCAGCTATCGCAAAGTTTCTCATTGGGCCAAATCCGGTCACTTCCTGGATTAACATGATAGCATTGTTAAGCTTGTCTTCTGCAGGCAGTTCAAGACGCGTTGATAGTGGGCTGGACATGGCAATTTGCTGCGCTGGGATTGGTGTAACGTGCTTCTTGACTGTTGTAATGATCTGGTGGAATTCGTTTTCAGTGGTGTTTCCGAACACAAAGATAGATATTTTGGCCTGGGAAATAACAATTATGTCCTCGAGCTTAATGTTCTTGGCGGCCGCAATGAGCTCAGCTGGGGTAAAAGGCAGCACATGAGTGTACATTCTAAATCCCAATACCAGACAAATCTCATAGGGCTTTAAGCAAAGAAGTCTCTCAAGTTCTGCTGGGGTAACTGTTTGGGTTCGGACAAGAGAGTCTTGGCGAGAAGCAGCAAAATCAACAAAGAATAGATCAATGAGGTCCTGGATAGCTAGTGGATACCCGTGGAATGTTATGCGAAGCTTTCCAGTGTCAACATCAAGAGACGATATATTGGTGTTAGATATCCTGATTTGCTCACGATGCTTAATAATGAAATTGCTCACATAAGCAGCCAAGTACCCACCAAAAGCAACATACGTAGCAACGTCTTTTTCAAACTCCCGCGTCTCCAAAACAATTGTTACCCTGGTCTTTTTCGTCGTGATATCTTTGTTATGGATAAGATGGGCGTCTAAACCGGGCTCGCGATGGGAAATGGCATACGCCTCTTCGCCCTTTTCAATAAAGGGACAGACACTGGTGTTTGTAATAAGACTACCGAACTTAGCCGAAAGCTGCTTGTTCTTTCTAGCCATAGTTAAATCAACCTCTTCAAAGACATAGTTGGTATTCCATGCCATTTGTTGGGCAATTGAATCTATTTTGGCGTCTGTTTTGCCAGTTAGGTCCACTACCGCATACTTAATGTAGTAATAGGGCTCAATCTGGAGAGAAGCATTGGCTGGTAGCTCGTTTGTTCGAACCGTCACTAGCCATTTTGAACGGTCCAGCGCAATGTCAACAAAACGATGGAATTCCTTGGCATTGAAGGCCTCCCATTGGTATGATAGAGAGAAAATGTCTTCTAATGCCATCCATGGAAGGTCTTCGGCAATACTTAAAGCCGTGGATAGTGGTCCGCAGGGATCGTGATCCTCCATTCGGTTTTGGAATATCTTCTTATAAGTGGCGTAGAGCTCTTGTGTGCCCATTTGGCGAACTAGCTCTAGTTTGGCCTGGATGAGATTGAGAACACTTTCTATCTGAGTCTGCGTACTGGACTTAAACTTAACCCCAATCGTTATAGATGTGCTGGTGGTAGAGCTACTGACAAAACAGCTGGTAGATACAATCACACCATTATTGATTAGCAGGTTGAATCCATTCAACTCTTTTCCTTCATTAAACACGGCAACTATAAATTCGGCTGTCTTCTCTTTGTATGCATGAAGTGATTGGGGTAGCTGAATCTTAACAGTTAGTTGGGTTGTTGTGGCTTTGGAGCTCTGGGGTTTGTAGTATACCAGTTTGTTTTGCAAATCAGGTCGGATTAGCTCGTGTGACGTATCAGTTTCGCTTGGTTTGGGAAGGGTGTCACCCAGCAGTTCGTAGGGTGGATCGGAAAAGATCCACTGGTGATCAGAATAGGTCTTGATACCCGAGAAGTGCTTTTTGACATAGCCTTCTAGGACATCGTGCGACTCTTTTCCATAGACTACTAACTGCATCTTATCTGGTCGGTAGTACTGTTTCCAAAAGCAAAGCAAATGTTCTCGCTTGGTGCTTTTGAGAGTTTCGCGCGAGCCAGTTGTGAACTTCGATAGTGGAGACTCGGGTTTGGTAAGATGTAATCCAAGTATAAAAGCTCGTTTGGCATCATTACCCATTCCTGTTTCCATTTCGTTGTGCACAATGTTCAGTTCTTTTTCGAGGTATTGAGCATCAATTAGTGGATACTTGAAGAAGCCGCTAAATATATCTAGTGCTTGGCCGAGATAGTTTGATGAAACATCAAAATGATACTCTGTGTACTCTTGGGCCGTTGAAGCGTTACTACTCCCGCCGTGATCTTGGATAAACTTTCGATAATAGTTAACATCGGGATGGGTCTTGGTGCCCATAAACAGTGCATGTTCTAAAAGATGGGCCAAGCCAAGATGATCGCGGGGGTTGTGCATACTGCCAACCTGAACTTTTAAACAAGCAGCGCTTTTTAGACTTTCGGGATTAGTAACTAGCACAACTTGGAGTTTGTTGGGCAGAACAATGGTTTTGTAGCTGTTTGGATCGAGTGAACCTTGTAAATTGTTGTAGCGTTGGCCGCTGCGAAACAAGACGGGTTTAAATCGGCCGAATCTTAGAAGAAAGACAGCAGCACCAAGTATAAACATAGTAAGTCCGGCTAAAATCAATAATCGATTGGTTTTGGCTTTACTAATCATAGAGGGATATTTAATTTTTTTGATCAATAGCTGACCAATTTCCTAATTGGGTAATTTTTATGTTCCATTCGAATTGGGTTAGTATTGAGTTGAGTTAAGTTAAGTTAGCATTGGTGTGGTGTGGGTTGGGTTGAGTTGAGTTGAGTTGGTATTGAGTTGAGTTAAGTTAAGTTAAGTTGATATGAAACACTAAACGTGATATGTTTTTATTTAGATAGAACTCAGCTTCAAAACCAGCTGCAGTTGGTAGTCTGCCAAAGAAGAAGCTGATTGGTCGCCAACCCAATACTAACTCAACCCAACTCAACCCCCACCACACCAATACTAGATATTCTATTTTCCTGAAAATATTCATATTTCTTATCAATTTCCTTTTTAGGTAAGCCTGTGTCGTCTGGCTATCTTCAATTTTATTTGCTTGGACTATGGCACTATCTCTGCGTAGGATGAATTTCTTGCCCCCGTCTGTTCAGAGCATGCCAAAATGCTCTTTAGGCTGCGCCACCATGCATAAACTCTTTCTTAACCCTAGCCATGGTGTTAGAGCCGTTTCTCGAATAACTACTACTTCGGCGGCCAAGTTTTACCGTTGTAGAACAATGATATGCAATTGGGTTGGCATTAACTTGTGCGCTCTGCTAATACTTTTGAATTGGGCCGGTGGGGTTGAGGGTATAGCCTATAGCAGGGATGCGGCAATTGTAGCGCTACAATCAATTGGATTTGTATGGAAGTTTGATGTGCCAAATATACAGATTGTATTCTACTCGCCTCAGCAGCTATCAAGGCTCCATTTCAATCCAAACACTAACTCAAAACTAGCTCGATCCCGATTGAAACAAGAGAATATGCCTGAATATGCAGTAGATTGTTTAGATAAAAGCATTTGTTTTAAACTGCGTGACTATCCAAATGCCGATATCGCCATGTACGTTTTAAATGAACTAAGAAGGATCGCAGTAATTAAGGTCAATACTGTTATTATTAAGAATATCAGCATCAGCCCACGCTGCCAACAAACGACCCTACTAATTTTATGCCGACTGGCTAACATGTTTGAGTGCAAAGAGTTACAGTTTCATTTTGATGACCTTAGTCCAATATATAAATGCATGGCTCCCCCCGATCGGACCAGATGCCGGGAAGAGGCACAAAACACACTTAAGCATGCCGGCAATGTAGCAATAAGCCTGAAACTCCTTTCTCTTTTGCCACCGGGCGTGGCTCTAGAGAATCTGCTTGTTAACTTGGCTGTAATGCGGCATGTCGTAAACATCACATTTAGTGCCAACCTTGTCCCTAAGATTGCTACCTACCTATCCCACTTTGCATTAGTAGACGATTTCTCCCTCATACTTGTGTACCAAAGAGACGATATTGTCATTGATTTGGTCATGCTTCGGCAAGTTTCTCATAAGTGCGCCAATCTTATCTTTGATATTCGCTATTGCCTCTGTCCAACAATAAAGGGTCTTGAGAAGGGGCTTGGCACTAGCCAAACTACAACTCTAATTGGTGAATGGTCCGGTATTCAGTATCTTGTAAAAAACAACCCAACAGCAATCAGAGTTCATATTATTTCCAATCCACACAATAACACACACTGGGACCATCACATGCACGACGCCCACAAAATCCAAACCCGGCCCGCATCTCGTGTTTATGCCCTCAAGGTTGATTATAGAATCTTTCCTAATCATGTGTGCAGGTCGCTGTCTTACTACGATCAATTGTTTACTCCGGACTCTTTTGCCAAATATGGCATCTCGGTTCGCGTTGTACATGCCAGTTATGTTGGTGTCCGATGTGACCTGCATACGGGGCTACACGAGCTTTGCGAGATCGGGGCTTTAGACAGAATGCCAGCAGATATCAAAAATAGAAAGGTTGTGTGCCTTGGTGATGCACTTAACAATCCAAATTGGACACTCCAAGAGCCTGTTATCATCCGACTGTTCTGCTACTTTCCCCGGGATACTTCTAAATTCTTCTGCCAGCATATACGCTACACGGCCATTATGATTACTGGAGACGGAACTCCTTACCTGGGCCAAGTGAAAGACTGCAATGGGCTTTTAGATCGACTAATGAACATCAAAGCCCAAAAACTCTACATTTCGTACATTCACGATGATATGCCAACTACCACCACCTTCGACCCGGACAGGCTACAAGCTGAGTTGGACAAATACCCCAAGTACCGCCTCACTCTTCAGACTTTATTCTTAGACGACGTAGACGAGCGCATTATCTATCGCATGCTAGGTCGCTATGATTTTACCGGCCCAACTGAAATACATCTTTTAAACCAACGCTTTACCAATCTTGCCGTTACCAAAATACTAGCTCTTCCTGTATTTGCAACCGTCTCCAAACTTGTAATCAATACTCTGCTGGGCTTAAATGAGGTTAAGTATTTCCACCAGCAAAAGACACTCAAGGACTTCTCACTGTTTAATTATATAGATGATCATAAGGGACAGAAATCAGTTGAAGAACTTGGACTGTCCAAACTGTTTCTGTTACCGGGCAGAATAGCGTTTGGCTCGTTAAGAGAAGCTCTACATGCCTTCATGGCTCTAGGCATTCAAGTCCTGCCCACTCTCGTTAAAAATTACAGCCTAGGGATAGACTACACCTACCATCCTCATGTAGCACGCATGAAAGAGTTGGCTTATTGTGAAATTGCACTTGAGACCCTAAAAGCCGATCTCACTAATTACCAGGCCAGATTCTCTAGTCCGACAAACTTGCCTCCATCTCCGGCTTCAATCCAATACGAATGGGCGACGGAATTGCTCTTGTACATCAATGGCAACCAGTTCTTAACTGCAGCAGACTTAGTGACTATTATTCACTGGATAGCCGGCCAATTTAAGAATATAACTACTTTATGGCTGGCTAACGTTAAGTGGACAAAAGAAGAGAGAACTGCAATAGCTTCGCACGAATATATGATTAGAGATCTGCCTTATCTTCAGTCCATCCAAATTGAGGATACTACTCCTAATGCAGACCCGATCTGTCTGGCATTACAGCCATATTGGGCTAACTTAATAACAATTGGCCCATCTCCCGAGCCCACCTTCACCGCTGTCTCATACAAAATACTATCTCTTCTCTACACCTACTGTAACAATATTCAAAAACTTATCCCCAACTATGATAACTCGAATGCGTCTCTTCAAATGATTATAAAGGATCTCAAACTAATGAAAGCCTGTGAAAGTATACCTAAATGCCGGCGTTGTAACAAAGCCCTTTACCGGCCACAAGTGAATATGGCCAAAAACGAGCTAAGCATCAAGAAACACATCCCTAACTCCAGCCCAGAGGAAAACATTACAGTGCTTTGCTACTTCTGCTGCGGACATCCATTCTGTATTGATTGTACTCTTGCCGCCCAAACCTTTAAGTCCTTGTCCTTTAAGACTCTAGCCACTAAGATAACAAATGAGACTGTTCTAACATGTCCTTATTGCCATCAACTATGTGTATTAGAGAGGTTTAATCAACTTATAAGTATTTCTTCATCTACCTTTGTTGTTCCTGATAGCAGCAACGATGGCTTTGCTATTGACCCCAAATGGCTCATCAACACAACGGGAGAGAGCGGCCAATACTATTTTTACACGACCTACCAAGACATGGCTGATTTAATGAACAATCTTAAGAACTAACTCAATACTAACTCAATACTAATCACATGATCAATAAATTAAACCCAAACCAATCCGATTTGAGCAGACCAACTATTTTGATTCTTAACTATATTTAGTGCCGAGGACCCAACGATTCAATAACGTCTAAACTATCTAAATATTCTCTAACCAATACCAACCCAAACATCCTATTATTCTGGCACAAAGGGCCATCCGATATTCCATCACAATTACATCTGCTTCATTCCACCCAATTTCACTACCAACTTAATACCAACTCAATATCAAACTCAACTTAATCTAATAAAACTAAACACAACCATTCAATTTTCAAAACCACTCGCTTCAATTTGACATTTTATTATTGAATTGGGTTAAGTTGAGATGAGTTGGTAGTGAAATTGGGTTTGTATTAGGTTGAGTTGGAGGTGGCAGTTGGATTGGTATTAGGTTGAGTTAGTATTGAGTTGGTGGTGGCAGTTGGGTTGGTATTAGGTTGAGTTAATAGTGGCAGTTGGATTTATCATACTAACACAACTTAACACAACTTAACATAGCATAACTTAACTTAACTTAACACAACTTAACTTAACCCAATACTAACTCAACAATCCTTGTGCCTTGAGTGCGTATTTAAATATAGAACACTAATCAGTTCAGCTCTTTATTATTGTCGTGCTATCTTCGATCAAGACCAACTCAATATTATGTTTACGGCAAAACACTCTACCCACATAATCAATAAACTCAACCCAATAGTAACTTAACTCAACTCAAATTAACCCATTTGGAATAGCATTGGCCGGGCTTGAGTTGAACAATTGGTCTGGGCTGTTTCTTCGGCCTGCTGCGGCGAGTCATAAAGATAAAGATTGCCTGCGGCCGTAATGGCGAAGTTGTAAAAATCAATGGGAGTAAGTTGATCGCAGAAGTAGTAAAGATCGGAGACAAAGAAAGGATTGTCCCAGTAGAGCTCCCAATACTCGGAGACCTGCTCGGGAACTAAGCTCTTAGTAAGCTCCAGAATAGGTGTCTGTAAAAGAAGGCTCTGTTTATAGGACTCGAACATGGAATTAGTTAGATAGAGAGCCTCGTTGGCGGCTTCAGTAACAAGATCCTTGGGAGTCTTTAAGTCGGAGTCTGTTTTTTTGGGACGCATAATAGTCAGCTGAACAATTCCTGGAACCGTGCTAATATCTATCTCTATGGAGGGATCGAAGGCCAGAGTGCTTCTTGCCCTACTCAATATTCTTGTCTTGATTAAGTAGCGGAGGAAGGTGGCGAGAACAAACGATTGGTACATTTGAGACGGGTTAAATTGGAGAGAACATGTCCAATACTCCGCATTTGGGTTAAATAAAGATTGTGAGGCCAGGGGCTCAGTCGGGGTTGGGGTCTCCGCGCTCTGGTATATACTGCTATCATTTAACAATACATCCAGATTTGCGGCCCAGCAGTTATGAGCAATCAGTTGAATCCTAGCACATTTTAGTGGCACGTAGCCAAATGACGTCTCGCGGGCTTTTTCTATGTGCGTGAGACAAAATTGGGGGTGAATAATAGGCTGGCCCAATATTGCCAGCACGGCATACTTAATGTCGCTTGCAACTGGATTGGCGTACTTATGTAGGAAGTGTTTGGCTCCTGCGGCTTTGATGCTCGGGCTTAGTATTTGATTGGAATTAGATTCTGTTGGGTGGTGGTACTCAGTAAAGAATCCAATCAGATCTTTCTTGATGGCTTCTGCTGCCCCTTCAAATGTCAAAATCAGCCGGGTTGTTTCGTTGGTCCACAAACGGACATTGCTTTTGAACCTCGTTGTTTTAGTTCGCTCGATATGCACCAATATCCACCCAACGGCGGAAATGTACATGTCTAGACTGGTAAAAAAGGCAGGATACAACGCTATGTAGAATGTTGGCTTGCCGGCAGCGCTCTTAAGAAAGTCGATTCGTTGAATAGCTAGGTTTATGGCGGGGTAGACTGTAGAAATGTAGGATTGCATATAAGAAGCCCCAAACTCGGTTTGCTTTAAGAGATTGATAAAGTCAACCTTATTCTCATACGGCCAAGTGTAGAGACTGAGACCCTTCAGTGCTGCACCCAATGTGCTGAAAGAGGACATGGCCAAAGTGTCTTCTTTGACCAGTCTGTATCTGATGTTATAGGCCGGGTACACTTCATGCTCCTGCGTTTGATCAATGGGTTCCTGGCAATATCGCTTCCATCTCCAACTCTCGATTAGCCACTTTAGCATATAGTGAAGGCTGTTTATGTCGCAAGTAACTGGGGGTATGGTTGTTGTGCTTGTAATTCTCTCAAACCAATTGCCTTTCATTTGGTTGGACGAAGCTTCGATTCGTTTGCAAATCTCCGTGTTAATGAGTGTTAGATCGCTGAGCCGGTTACGACTTGGACTGGTTTCTAAAGCTAAGGAATCAAAACCCATCCAGCGATGCAACTGCACTAAATAACATTTTAGCTGAGTTGAGATGGTATGGAAAGCCTTAATCAGTTGTGCATCAGATGTCAGCACGAAATCCATGCTAATGTAAGTGGTATGGCCAAGAACCAACGGCCTAGCATGTCCGCCTCGAATGTTGTGGTCTGTACCTAGTGTCGCTAACAAAGAGCCGGGACAGTCCAAGTTCAACAGAAAACAGATTAGCGCCAGGTGCTTCTTAACAGTGCTTCTATCGCCATCAGGAAAAACAGGCATGTTAATCGAAAAGACCGTGGATGCCTGGGGCGAGTTATACATTAAAATCGGATTGGCATAATTGGCCGGGTTGCTTGAGTTTGGTATTAGGATGTTCTCTAGTAGCACAATTGAGTCTTGAAAAGGCCACTGCATTATGGGCGGTCGTACAATCGTTGGCTCTATCGCTGCTTGGGCAAGGGTTGCCAACTTAGTCATGAAGCCGTCATGGCAAATAGTAATATGAGTATTTGAAGGCTGAGTTATGTATTCCCAGAGACTTTTGATTTCTTTCAGGGATACGCGCATGTTATCATTAATTCTTGTCATGGCGGCCGATCGGCCGAACAGATCGTATTTCTCGCTAATTAGCTGCAGATGGTGTTTGGTTTCACATGGGTCTAAGTTGGTAGAGTCAAAAAGAAGAGCGGTAGCCTTCTCAAAAGATGCAGTGCTAAAGCCAAACTCAAGAATCTCGAACAGGCATTTTAAAGTACATTCGAGACAGCCACTCGAGTCCAGACTAAAGCCTATTTTAATACGACTCTCTTCACAGACGTAGGCCACCTTGGCCACAGTTTTAAATAGTCGCATTAAGTTGGGGGTAGCATAATGCTTAGTAACTGAACGGATAACAAGAGAAAGCATAACTTCGATGCAGGCCAGCCGATGAATATTTTGGACGGCCTTAACCTGCTGGTCTAGCTGCAAAGTTATCGTAATCCTAGTGTTACCTTCATCAACGGTAGTACGTTCCGAGGAAAATAAAGCCAAGTGCGCGCCATTACGACATTGAATGCTTTTGAACGAAGGATAGCTTGCCTTTGTGTCACCCAAGAAGGTCAAAAGAGCGCCAAAGAGCACCCAAAACGTCCATAGATTTGATATTTGGCGAGATCGTTTACTATATAGAATATGTTCCATGTAAGTGTTATTAGATTAAAACAAAGATATCGGTTTGGTATCAGACTGGTATTGGGATGGAATTAGACTGATTCTAGCTAATAGTTAGTCTGGGCATAGAGTTGTGTCATTTCTCACAATATCAAAATGATAAAACGATGATTGCAACATTAATTATAGCTGCCATTTACTGTCCCAGTTGATCAAACAACTTCAAAGTAATATATGTGGAAAGCCCAGGTTACTTTTTAGCCCAAAGCATCCACAACGATTCAAACAATCAAAGAAAACACTAACAGTACTGTTGTGTCCCAGGGGAGGATAGAGACCTCTCATCCAAATATACTCAACGAAAGACAAATTGGGTTAATCTGGCTAATTGGGTTGGTATTGAGTTGGTATGCGAGTCTGAGTCGTTTCTAGTTCTGATATAGTTCTGTGCGAATCCTTCATGTATGTCATGGAAATCATAGAGAGTCTTTTGTCGGTCTTCGTCGTATATTTATACTCTAATTGAGCTGGTTTAGTTTGGTTTGGTATTGGGTTGTTTAAAGTAGTAAGGAATGAATATCTACATGATATGTACTTACTCGTTTAAAAGTAGAGATATCTCGAGATCTTCATTAAGACGTATGGGGGAATGTTATAGACACCACAGTTAGTCAATAACAAGGCATCCACTAGTGTTCATGAGTGTATAGAATATCTATCCACTATTCCATCATCCGCATTCCCTCGCCATCCACAATAAGTGCCTAATCTATCTATCATCCCCGTGCGTATAAACAACCTGTTCTATCATCTTCTTGGCATCTACTCGTATTAGTCCTTGTTACTATCATATTATACTAACTCAATACTAACTCAAACTAACCCAATAGATGACGTAATACTTTGACCAAACCACACAACATCACGTAATAAAATACTAACCCGAATGCATCTCCTTTATTTATCAGAATACAAGACTAAAACCAATCCAATTTGCCGTGGTGCATAAAGAGTATTAGGCTTTGCCTAGTGAGCCGTGGCTGATAGAGTATCTGAATTCACTCGTTATAAGGGGGCTGTCAAAAACATCAATCTCTTCAACTTAATATTAATGCCACCCATGCTGTCGCATGTCTTGACACGTAGTGTCATTTCTGCAGCATCTTTACCATAATCATTTATCACATGAGAGCTAATATAAATTCTATGTCCGGCCATTAGCTTCCAACATGTACACTGCTAAACTCATGAAAACTACTCTCATTTGTTCGGCCATTCTAGTGTTTACCTCGGGGGCCATAGCCTTTATTTACTGTCACAAAGGCTTTGTGCCGGTCAAGCGGCAAACCAATTTAGATATATTCGAATTAGATTGTAGTAGCAATAGTAGTAGCACTTCTCTCAGCACTCATACAAGCTTATCACTCACTCCATCCACAACTTCCTCCACCCCCCGCTCAACCACACCTTTTAATGAAACCGAAGAGATAGTGGACCCTACGAATGATTCAACCGAAAACACACTGCCTAATGATTCAGCCGATCCTAGTTGTTCGCCTATAGCCCCAGTTTCCGACGCAATATTAACCCAGCACTCTAGCGAGCCCGCACCGCCTAGCCCCGCTCCAATACTAACTCGGATAGCCAATAGATTCGCTAGTGTCTACAACTTGGTCTTTGGCTCGCAGCAGAGTCCTTCCTCGCGCCAACACACAAATATGTATACCAATTATCTTAAGACTGCGTCTAAAAGCCACGAAGAAGCCTGCCGTTTATTCCTAGAAATTCATCGCGACCTTTTCTACAACCCCAATGCCAACTCCAATACTAACCCAAATCCCAATCCAAATCCCAATCCAATTCCCAACCCAGATACCAACTCAAACACTAATCCAAATCCCAACTCAGATACCAACTCAAACACCAACCCAACTCCTAACCCAATCTACTTTCTGGTTAAAACACTTCTTAAGGCTCTAAAACCGCAATGCTTATTAGGCCCGGGCCAAACCACACATAAACCAATACTAACTCCAGAGGCATGGAAGACCATAGAAGGCTTGCTACACAATGCCAACTACAACCCAGCCAGCACCCCGGCCATAGCTCTTTTGAAGAATATTATATCCGGCTGGCAGCTAGTTGATGCGTACGGCCAACATGTCCAAGAGGAACTCGCTTTTTTAGACCAGCTTGTTCGCGAGCTGTTTATCTTCACCGCTAAGTACGACATCCAAGACTTTCAGAACAACCAACTGACCCCGGCCACCTTTGCAGTGCTCAAAACCCAAATTCATCGCATTGTTAAAGGCAGTCCGCTTTTTACCTCCAAGCCATTTCAACGCTACCAGCAAGCCTTACTGAATATAAGTAGCACTAATCCGTTGATTTTCAGTTGTGTTATTGGACCATACGATAATACAATCAAGTATAGTAAAGAAAACTTAGATTGGGCTAGTATTGAACGCAGCTTAGCAACTAAGCCCAATCAAGCCATCATTAGTGTCTTAAAACAAATAGAAGCACAAACTCCAGCCGCCGTTAATTCCAATCCGGACAGCCAAACCGCCCATCCACAGGATAATACCGGAAACCTCCTCAGCATGGCATCAGCAACAACATTGGCCATTACAACTTTGCTATCCCTATCTACCACTATCCCTTCGAGTCAAAGCCAAAGCCAAACCCAAGCATCTGACTTCTTTGCTGTTGTTCCAAATCAGAATGCCACCAATAACCTTTTTCTTCCCAATATTGAATCAATTCTAACTATTTTGGCTTCTCATGCTATCTCTATCCAACGAGACATTGCCAAACTGTCTCCTAAAGAGGCACAAGTGGCCGAAGCAATTCAGCACCTTCTATCAAACACTATTGCCCCAGCCATCTATAACTCCATCCTTCTCAAGCATGTACGCAACAGCGCCTTTCTCAAATGCCTCTACTGCCTTGTTTTGGATCCTTGCAAAGGCCGCGTTGACTATCCCCCAGATTATAAATGTGCTCTATCTCAGAGAGAGCTATGCCTGCTACTCAAGGCGATACAAACCCAGCGAGATGTTTTGACAGACATTCTTAATAGCAAGCCAAGCACAAGCCCATCCTATCTCACCCAACTCGTCCTTCTGGAAAAGCACGACTTCTCAGACGACCCCAGCTTATCTCTTACTACTTGTATGTTTCCATATGCCCATGATATTACTGAGAAGCCACTAGAGTTCACCTTTAACCCGCCCTTGTTATTGGCCTTGAGATATTCTTGGGAGTTAATACTTTCTGAGTCCTCCATCAATCTCGTTGGTCTATTTAATCTCTATCCTTTTAAGCGTTTCCATGAATTCCAAAACTAAATCAAATCACAAGTCTTCCATTTCGAAAATGGATGGCTTTTCCTAGGTTTAACAATTCAGAAACACATCTAATAAAAAGAGTCTCTTTATTCATGGCTTGAACCAAATCGGCATCGAATCAACTATAGCTAGACACTATTTTAATGACGCCAAAACCATCCGTTTCAACTGCATCCAAAGACTCAATCCAAAGCATCCAAAGACTCAATCCAAACCCAACTCAATAGACAACTTTAGTTTGCCCAGCAAAAGCCAACTACTGTTTGTTCCATTAGCCCAGGTCTGGCTGGGATGGATTGGTAGTTCTCGAATTCCAGACTCTCCCATTCTTTGAGGGCGGCCCGAGACAACTTCGTGGCGGTCGACAGCTCAACAAGAACTAGACACCGATTTAAATGGATACTCCGTGCTTTATGTGCAAGATAATCTATGAGCATTTGTTTTTGGTTTATCTTCATATTTGATATGTTTAGTAGCGAGCAGACATGTAAGCGGATGTTACTGCTGGACAGATGGTCTTGTACATACTTGTACATGTCCCAATCGAGTGAAAGCGTGTCTATGTCTGCATCTACTTGTGGCAGTTTAATTTCACAAGTCGATGGAACACTCATGATTTTAAGAATATTGATAGTGCCAAAAATCAAAAATCTTAGGTCGGCGCTTTTTAGCTTCGGAGCCTCATCAATACTAAAATAAGCTAGTGATTTCCAACTATAGCTGTTTAGCACCTCTAGATTTTCTATTAGACAGTGGGTTAGTGTAATTCCGGTTGTAATCTGATTTCGACTCTTAGCTAAATAGTGCATAATGGCATTGGCTGAAGCGTGTGACATATCATAAAGATTGATAGAAATCGACCGATTGCCTTCCGATCTTTTATAGTTGCTTAGACTGAATTCACTTGATGGATCCTCTATCTCAAGGCCAAACAGATTTAGCAGCTGAAAGTCAAATGTGTCGAGTATAACCCTTAGATCGCCGAATGAAATAATTGAACTGGGCTTCTTCTTACATACTTGAATAACAAGTTCGCGGCACTCAATGCGCTCAAAGTACGTGATAGAGTCCAGGAACTTCTCCATTGGAAAGTTGTGGTAAAAGATGAAGACCGAGTGATAGTTAAGATCAAGTACCCTGGGATTCCCCTGGGATGTTTCATATGCTGGCTTGCGTAGTAGGTTGAATATGTCATTTGAATTGAACGTACGCGGCACAATCAGCTCGTGTTTAGCCGCCTTTTCTTTAAGAAAGGAAGTGCAGCTTAAGTGAACAGCCTGTCCATCTGGCATAATACTAATTCCAGACATTGAGTCGGACAGGTTAGTCCAATAACTAGATTGGTTTTCCTTCAAGGACTGCCAGCCAGAATTTGACTTATCTTGCTGCGCCCACTTAGCTAGTTTGTATCCTCCCAAACCTGTTACTCCAGCTAAAAGCGCCAAGCATATTCCTCTATGCAGTTTTCTCATACTATTATCTGTTGTGCTAGATTTTTAATATAGATACGGCGTAAATTATGTTGGGGAATGTTTTGGTATTAATTTAAGGGGTAAATAATAAAGAATGTAGTGTTATTGGCTAGTTTATTGAATTGAGTTAGTACTATCTAGTTGTGGGTGGTTAAAGTAGCGCGCGTGAATAGACATGTCTTATAGAGTTAGTTGTTTTCTTCGGTCTATCTTTCAAACTCTCATATTTATTCATTTTCAGGCCTAGTTATAGACAGGAAAATTTCCTTATTGGGTTTAGTATTGGATTTAGTATTGGATTTAGTAGTTGGTGATTGTATTCCCGTCTTTTTAGAAAGCGGTAATGTCCTTTAGACATATATCTTAGAGTTGTTAGGGTTGAAACCCCCCGAATGAACGGATATGGAACTTGATGCAATTGAACTAGTATGAGAAGATGGCTGAATTGAGTTGGCAGTAAATAGAGCCAGAGTTAGTATGACAACAAAACCAATAAGTATCAGCTTGTAATATATCGTGCTTTTACGCGCTTTCTGCTTATATGTATGCCAAACTCCCGCCCCAAGAGGTAAAAGGCCAAACACAATGCCGTGGAGAAGTTGCTGGTCCTTAACCGCACTAAAAATACCCCGGACGACTCCTTCGTCTTTAACAACAGTGTAGATCACAATTGCAAAAATTACGGCGCCTATCAACCCAACACTAACCCAATCCTTGATATTCTTGTGATTGAATTTAGGTTTTGACAGTTGGGTTGAGTCGGTTTGAGATTGCGAACTCCACAGAGAGGGCAAAAGCTTATGCATAAACAGCACAATTCCGACCAGCAGAAAACTGACTGCAACAATAAGGAGACCACCAATCTTAATATGTAATTTTGAGGTTTCTGAGAATATCAAGATACCGAAAATAGTCATTGAGGTGGCAAAAGCCGTGGCGTATAGAAGAGGCAACACAGTGACAACAGCAATGCCTATACTAGCTGCTTTAGCAATAGTTTTTCGACTCTTGTAATCAGCAGCTGCCTGGTTTTTACCCTCGGACACGTTCTTAACCTGTAATAGTTCCGATGTAATCTCTATATCTGCATCGTCGTCCTCATCCAAGTCTGTAAAGTTATTTAGGCGTCGGCTTACAGATGAGCGTCGGCCTATAGATGAGCGTCGGCTTGCAGATGGAGCGGGCGGTAGCAAATTAAGATGTTGCTTAAGAGCATCAGAATGTACTATAAGCGGACTCATCTCGTTTCGGACAACCCCGCTCCAGACATACGCATTTATGTCCTTATTAGCTTGATCTCCATTAAGTGACGGGCGAGTGGCGAGGAATTCAAAAAATAGCTCATCTAGTTTCTGCTGAACATTAGCTTTTCTATCGTCAGTCATGACCGATATATATGGATTGCTAAGAGTTTCGAACAATTGCTGATAATACTTGTTATCAGGGTTAAGAGCAGCATAGGTAATCAGATCTTCTTGGTAGTCAATAAGTGCTTGAATGAGTGCTAAATTATCATCGGTCAATGGCTGCCTAGATTCGGATTTCATTTTCCCATCTTTAATACTTCTTTCCCGATGGTAGTCTTTGATTGCTGCAGCAGCGTCTTTCAAAACAGTCGGGAAGCCATCCCGGGTTATTCTTTCAATAAGCTGGCGTTTTTCCAACGGGGTAATCACATCTGGCCATCTTTGTACATCCTTTTCCTTACTCTTATTTCTGATCGCCCTCTCTGTTTCGATAAAGGACTTAAAGAAAGGCAGATAGCGTGATTGATAGTGGTATAGAGCAAAAAAACGCTGTGCCACATTCGTGTAGTTCCCAGAGTATACACTCTGATGGTCAGTCCTTGCCTGGTCCAACGCGTCCAAGTTGCATTTAATCACAGCCCATTGCATGAGATGCTCCTTTATATCCGCATGGATTGCTTCAATAATCTTGTCTTTCTTTTGGTCATAACATATTCGTTCGGTATTCGAACTGTCTATTTGTGCATTGGGATATACCATGTTGTCAACGGCCCATTGTATGTAAGGTTTTAAGCTCGGGTCGGGAACACCACTCTCATCATTAATCGTAAGGTGGCCTACAAACATGGATAGAAAGTAATTCTCTATAAACCACCGATTGGCCTTGGTAGACATACTGACTTCCTTTTTGTTATCTTGATGAGTTAGAATATCCTTCTGTACTTTTTCCCATTCACTACTCTCTTCATACCCAGTAGGGTCTATATACTCCCATTTAACTTTATGCGTCTTGGGATTAAGTTTCATATTCATTGCTGATTATTTACAAAAGATTTAATAATGACCGATTTATTTCCTTTTTGGGAAATACGAATTAAAAATTTCAATAATAATCCAATAGATTTACTGGCCACCAAAAACATTATTACAGTATTAATTTAAACAGAACAACCAAATGCAGTGCCGGCATACAACCACTACGCAGTATGCATTGCCAATAACCGGATTTAGCCAAGTCACAATAATTTAACCATTTTAATTTGCATATCTGATGACGTCATTCGCCCACGGGCAACACTAACCCATTCGATATCTATTTCCAAGAATTTCTTCAATAGAGTGTGCTGACTAATGAACCATATCAACTTCACAAAGATTACACTAAGACAATGTAAATAAAAACTCAGATATCTGATTTATTGATCTAAGGAAAACGTGTTAGTTTATGGTAAAAAGGCCGGATTAGGGAGTTTGACCCTGCAAATTGTTGTTGTATGCCACGACCTTTGCATGGATGGTTTTAATGACGTCATCCATAGCAGGCAGTTTAGTCCAGCAGAGCACCAAAACCACAATCAAGATAATAAACAAAACTTGAACTATTGTGGCAAATCCCCACTGTAAAATCTTCGCTTTAACATCCTCAAAGGAATAATCAAACCCAAATACCACTTTTAAACGACCGCCTGTCTTTTTCCAAAATCCTACCTTATGCTCACCAGTTGTAGTATCTTCCTCCTTCTTTGTCCAACCAAGATATAAAGATGCCAGACTAAGCAGGAAAAGGCCTACTTGAAGGTTGACATGCAAGTTCAATGAAATGTTCTCCGCCTGATAAAACACCAAGGTAGATAGGGCAACTGCGCCAAAAGTAACTAACAAGAGAGGAGCTAGCATATCTGTAAGCACGGAATAGGGACTCTTTTTCTCGGCCCGGGCAATACTAGTTATCTTCATTATTTGGACTAAAGATAGAATGGCCATCAACAATGTAACGATATTAACTAGGCCAAACATGATATTAAAGTCACTTAGCCAATAACAATACATCACACTAATATAAGTCATGAAGCTGGTAAGGAAGATAGACACGAAAAAGAGTGCGTATAGGGACATAGTATGGAGAAACCTTTTCACCGAACTACCTATCGTCGTAGGCTCATTGTACTTAAGGCGGTCAAGAAGACTAGCTGGGTTTTCGTTTTCGGCATTGATAACTTTTGTGGTTAACCACTCCGCAGCTGGCGGTAGTGTTCTGTTCGCATCAGACTGGTTAAGCAAGTTTAGTATTGTCTTAGCCTTCTTCTTCTTTAGTTCTAGTAGGTGTTGGTAAGCAGCCGTAGATGGGGCCTCGTAGCATAGTTTATCCACATCCATTTGACTAACCTGTTTTAAATATGTCATGTATTCTAGTGCTGCCTCCCTAATAGCCATCTTTTGGTTGGTTATCACCTCTTGGTTTTGAGGCACATTTGGGTTTCTGTAAATCTCGGCTTGCTCGGCAATAGTATGAGAAGTTAATATGGTTAGCATAGTATCAATAAACTTCTCGTCGGGTGTTAACCCATTTGGATTGGGGTTATATTCTGGCAATCCAGCATGCATGTCGTGCTGCTGAAGTAATCGAGCCATTTGAGCATGATACCCACATCGAGCCTTATCATCAGTCGTGGAGTCAAACTTGTATTTTGGGTCGTCAAGACAAGGCGTAGTAAGCAAGCATTTGATGGCCCAATAACTGTTCATCCAATCAAGTTCAACCGGTACTTCACGCATAGAATCGTCGTCTTGAGGTATTGGATCCCTTCTGCGTTTTTGAGGTATTGGATCCCATCCGCGTTCACGAGCTAAAAAGTTCGTTATTGTATGGTCGGATGCGTTAGTCGAAAGTCCCACCTCGTCTTTCACCTTCTCAACTCGATGGTGCAAGTACTTAAGATAGACTTGATAATGATGGGTTTCTCGCGCCTCAACACATGCTTGTTCCAAGAGAGTAAATAACCGCCAATCTTCTGAATTTTCAGCATAAATTCCCATGTTCACCAGAAGAGTATACCAATCACCGGCCATCATTTCAAAAACCCGCTGCACCTTGACCTTCTTATCAGCAATGCTAGGCGTCTTTCCACTTTCTTTCAAATCAAACCTGGCGATTCTAGCATAATCCATAGCTCGTTGTGTATTAGGAATGAAAACCATCTGGGAAAGCGCTTGATTCAAAAGCGCACTGTTCCTTTGATCCAACTCGCTATTTTGTTGATCTGAAAAGGATGTAGTTAAAGAAACATAATTAAGCAAATGGTTAGTGTCTGTGGATCTTCGTTCGGCAATATAAGCAATCAGTAATCGTAAAAATTCCTTTGGCGGCGTCCTCGGGGTTAGAAAGTCCTTCTCCATCTTAGTGATTTCCTCTCTAAAAATGCCTTCTTCCATTATAGTAGTATCACCAGTTAATGTCTCCAAGACCTTAACACAGTTGGAGTTATTCTCGCTCATATTGAAAATCTTTGCTGATTTCTTTATACGCAACTATTTCCCAAAAAGGAAAAAAATCAAGCCAATTGACGTAATATTTTACTGGCAAAAAAAAAGCAATTTTATTATACTAACCCAATTGGGCTCAATTTCTTAATGATTTGATTAGACAGCCACATACCTCACCCAATCCAACACCACCCCACACCACCCCACCCCATCCCACACCACCCTACACTAACTCAACTTAATGCAAACATAAAATTACCCAATAAGGAAATTATTCAGAAAAGCAATCTGTAAATAATCCACAAATAAACAAAGCCACTTATTAACCCAATACTAACACAATCTGTTTATTGATTTAATTCCTTCTGATTTAGACATTATGATCTAATCTAAACCAAGACCAACCCATATAAATAACTTTCATGTCAACACCACCACCCCAACCCAACCCAATAAGGTAAATTACCCTAAATAGAAATTACCCTATAAGGTAAGCCCTCATCTATAAATAAATTGAATTAGTATTAGCATTGTATTGAGTTGAGTTGGGTTATGTGTACTTGCCAACTCAATCTAATCTACTCTAATCAAAAGCCAACTCAACCTAAACACAATCCAAACTCAACTAAGCACAATCAAGCACAATCCAAACTCAACTCAATCTAATCTAATCTAATCTAAACCCAACCCAACCCAACCCAACCTAAACTCAACTCAATCTAATCAAACCCAAAACCAACTCAAACCAAACTCAATACTAACACAATCTAATCTAAAACCAACTCAATCCAAACTCAACTCAACCCAATCTAATCAAAACACAACTTAATACTAACTCAATCCAAACGTTTATTGCTTGGTAGCAGGCAAGTGCCCTGCTCTGTTTGCCAGTCTATGCGCCGGCACTCTAAATCAGAATGTATCCGGCCTGTCCCAGCCAGCAACCATTGATCAGTACATCCAACAGTACTTCTCTGTTCAGAGGATTCCCTGTTAGGTCTATGTACATCGGCACATCTTTCCGAGACTTGATAGTTGCTATCGCTGCCTCAGGAAGGGCCAAAAGATTGTTATTGTTCAGATAAAGCTGATTTAACTGTGTTAAACTAGGCAGAATACTAGGAGGTAGTTCTGGTAGGCCACATCCCGCCAAATCCAAGACTTCCAATCCCTTCATACTCGCCAGCTTTTCCAAGTCCGACCGATGAATAGGTAAAGGCGCCCGTGGATGTCCGGCAAAGGAAGCTTTCAAAGAGAAGAAAGTCAAACTGTACAACGGATAAAAGTATGACATCACCGTAGCCGGTTCTTCAATATCTAATAATAACGTACTAATGGTCGTACAATGTCCTAATTGGTACAAAAACCGTTTCATCCGGTGTGTATTCATACTACCCATCACGTACAACTCAGTCAAAGCCGGCCGATCACTAAAGTACTTGTAAAAACTCTGTGATTCCGTAATGGTCTCACAAACATGTAAATGTAAAGTTGTTAAGTCCTTATGACTTCTAATAAACGTAAATAAATCATAGATAGCCTGGGGAGCATCCATCTTTTCAATTCCAATCCTTAAACTTTGCAATCTATTCCCTAACCGCTTCTTAATCGTATAGAAGTACCCTTCCGTAAAGGAAATACTCACTATCTCTAAACTACTTAAGACTGGGGCGTTTTCCTTGTTAAAAAAGGTCAATGGCCGCAAATCACAATTTCTGATTGTTAAATGACGTAGATAAGGAAAAACAACCTTTTTAGTTCCTAAGGAGAACTTAATCCGGCGTTTAGTAATACTATCAAAAGAAAGGGTCTCTAAATTAGTCGCTTCTAAGATCCGTTCCGCATAAAAAGTAGATTCATTGTACAACTTCTGCGCACTCGCTTCCGCCGCATCATCAATCACTCCTAAAGTCAAGTGTTTTAAAGTCTTAAGAATACCCGGCCAGTCCCTTAAACTCATATCTCTTACTAATCGGCCTTGCATCCGTAAACTTACCAAATTAGGTAATGGCGTTAAAAACACAAAATAATCAATATTCATCGCTCGTCCTGATAAATCTAACTCTACTAAACTATCCATCTTACAAGTCATATTATAAACCGAATTCTTAACCGCCGTTGAAAATCCACCAGTACTTTTTTCCGTCTTACACCGGCCACAAGCACTAGTACGAACATCTTCTATCTTCAAGTACTCTAACCCAAGTAAACTGCCTAAGAATCCGTAGCCACAACCACCACAAAGTGCTCCACCATCAAGTAACAATCTATTCAAACCATTCAACTGAGTAAAAAAAGAAGGATCTATCCAGCCAATACTTGTCCCAAGTAAATTCAGAACAAGTAATTTACTACTACTTCCACCCATACTACTTTCTTTCTTATCAAAATTTTGATTTTTATCACTATCTTTTTTATCAAAATTTTGATTTTTATCACTTAAATTTTTACTATCTCCAATATCTCCACTACTATCTCCAACAACACTATCTTCCTTATCACTACTACCACTAACAACACTATCTTCACCACCACTACCCAGACTATCTTCCTTATCACTACTATCTCCTACAACACTATCACTATCTCCACCACTAATAACAACACCAATCTTATCTCTACTTACCCCATCTCTACTTACCCCATCACTACTAACACTATCACTATCCTTATCTCTACTTGAGTTATCTCTACTAATACTAACTCCTATTAACCCCCCACNCTAAATCTCTTAAATCTTTGTTATCGCTAAGATCTACTATCTCTAAGACGGGATGGTCTAAGGCTAAAACATTAAGCATAACTAGTCGATTCCTACGCATACTAAGGACTTTAAGCTGGGGGAAGGAGGTCTGTAATATATTTTTGGGAATTGTACTGAAGAGATTCTCATCAAGAATGAGAATTTCAACACTATCTAACAGTCCTAAAGTACTCCACCACTGATCGGTTAAGTTTTGACCTTTTAATGATAATGTTTTAGATGTGAATTTTGTTATCTCTTTTGAAGTTAGAACTTCATTGCGGTTTTCTTTATAAGTCTGTTGTACGTGCATTCGTTGTTAAAATAAAAAATTTACTCTTTAAAGAGTATCTCCCTGGCTTATCACCAATTAACAATTAGATAACGAATTCTCCTGATTATTAAAATGTTATCTTATTTATTCGTTTGTTTTTATGTCCTTTTTGGGTAATTTATAAGTTGATAGTACTTCGAAAAATTTGCATGTCTAATAGTGAGTTAGTCTTAAGATTGATTTGGGGTGAGGGTAAAGTAGTGGTAGTTACGATGGATGGAGTGTCTGAAAGGGGTGTGATTGTAGAGAGGAAGGAGAAAGTGCGTGGTAGTATGAAGGTTTCGGCTATTTATCGGGTTAAGATGTTTAGTGGGGCTTTGAAATGGGTGCCTGAGAGTGCTTTGGGTGAAGTAGAGGAAGAGAGGGTTAAGATAGGATTAGGATGGCCGCGTTTGTGTTTGTTTAGTGTCTTTAGAGATTTACTGCTTAAAGAAAGAAGTGTTTTAGATAAGAATAAGATAGTTTTTAATTGCCTTGGTTTAAATAGAGATAGTAATATGTATTTAGATGGTGTTGGTATGTGTATGAGTTTGGATAGTAATAGTAGTAGTAGTAGTAATAGTAGTAGTAATATGAGTAATAAGAGGGAAAGTTGTGAAAACAACGATAACTTAAAAGATAACCCCAGTAGAGATAACCCAAGAGATAACTTAAGTAGTAATGGGATGGGAGAGGATGAGGTGGTGGTGCGGGCAGTGTATGCGAGTGGTAATTCGGTGGGGAAGATTTTGGGGTTGTTTGAAGTGGCTTTGATGGAGTTGCGGCCTCAGGGGGTAGAGGAGGTTAAGGAGGGAGTTAAAGGACTAATGGAATTGTTTTTGTTTGCTGTTCATACGTTGATTCTTTATCGGGAGGAACGAATGGTTTATGAGAAAGAATTGTATCCAGATAGTGATAAGATTTTGAAATATTATGGGTTGACGCATTTGTTGCGTATGTTGTTGGTTTTACCGCAATTACAAGGGAAGATAGTTGGTGAGGCTGAACATTTTGAACATGCAGGTGAGTACTTGAAGGCTTTGAATGATTATTTAGAGAGTAACTATACTTTGTTTGTGCCGGAATCTATGTGGCCTGGAAGTAAATCTACTGTAGCTTCTAATAGTAACAATTAAATTAAGATAAATTAAGATAAGATTAGATTGAGTTGAGTTGGGTTAAGATTGGGTTGAGTTGGGTTGGGTTGAGTTGAGTTGAGATTAGATTAGATTAAGTTGAATAATAAAGTAAGTTATAATATAGTAGTATTTAGATTATCTTGCCTTGATTATGTTTGAACTCAATCTTAACTCAATCTTAACTCAACCTTAACTCAACTCAACTCAATCTAATCTTAACTTAACTAAATACTAACTCAATCTAAGTGATTTATTGGTTGGTGGGAATGGCTTTAATTTTGAAGAGTGAGTTTGAATAGTTGTGATTAGTATTGGGTTAAGTGGTGCTGGTAGTTAGAAATGAATAAATGGGTTGTGTTAGTATTTGGGTTGTGTTCCGTTGTGTTGTGTTGTGTTATGTTGGGTTGGTATATAAGGTTATAATTGCTGTGTATTTAAGATAAACTTAGTACCAACTTAGTACAAACTTAGATACTAACTAAACGACCAACTAGATACCAACCAAACTACCAACTAGATACTAACTAACTTAATGTCATTGAAAATACTAACCCAATACGTTGTCTATTTATTCGGCATTGAGGTCTTGTCGGGGAATGCCTGTGAGGTCGAGGTGGAGATGGGTGTAGGCCTCGGCGGGAGTGAGATTGGCTTGCTCGGCGAGATCGGAGAAAGCTTGTTGGAGGATGGAAGTCCAATAGTTGGTTTGAATTTGAGTTTGCTCGGTGGTTTGGAGGAATTTGGCTGCTAGTCGGGCGCGACGGTGGCGGTCTAACTCTAAAGTAAGTCGGGTTTTGGGGCCGCGGCGGAATTGGTCGGAATGCCTTCGTTGGGGCTTTTGCACGGATGGGTCTTTGTGAATCTGGGTGATAGTGGAGTGGAAATGGGTTGAGTTGTGCTTGGCTAAGAAAGTAAGTATGTCTTGAATTTCACTGAGTTGAGATGGAGTTAGGCTGGGTTGGATTGGCTGTGATGGAGTTAGATCTGGTGAGGTAGATGGAGTGGGGGGAGTGGTTGGGGTGGGTGAAACTGGGGTGGAAGAAGATGAAAGTGAAGGCGAGGACGATGGGAAAGGCATAAAATTTAACAACACCAAAAGTTGGTTTTAACGGAAATATCATCATCTAGGTTTAGGAGGGGCTTAGATGAAATATTGTTGCGATTGGCTGAAGTTTCGGTTGCTTTTTGGTGGTAGATTTGCTCGACTAGACTTTGGAAAGCTTCCTTGACATTGGTGTCGGAAAGGGCTGAAGTTTCGGTGATTTGGAAAGATCCTACCTGGGCGGCTTCTCGGGCCTCTTGGAGAGATACTTCGCGTTTGCCAACTAGATCGGTTTTGTTGCCAACTAGAGAAATAGTAATGCTGCTTTCGGCATTGTCTTTGAGTTGCTTGATCCATTGGGTGGTGGCGTTTTTGAAGGTGTCTTTGCGCGTGATATCATAGACGATAATGGCACCGGCGGCGCCTCGGTAGTAAGCTGATGTAATAGCTCTGTATCTTTCTTGGCCGGCAGTGTCCCAGATTTGGGCTTTAATGCGCTTGCCGTCCACAACAAAACACTTAGTGTCAAATTCAACCCCAATAGTGGACTTGGTCCCGCTGTTGAAGCGATTATGGGCTAAACGTTCTAAGAGATTGGTTTTGCCAACACCACTGTCTCCAATTAGTACAATTTTGTAGAGATACTCATACTCTTGTTCTTCGCGGTGCATGGAGGTAAATAGTGTTGCCAAGATATGTTTCTGGCCAAACATTGTTTTAGGATACGACTGATTTCTGACAATACGGGCAGCGGGCATACTGGTTAATGAGCCAGGGGTCAATGCAGTACGGATGGAACTGGTGCTGGCAGGGAAGAGTGCGGCATAGGTTGTCTTTCTCAAATGTCTCCATGCAAATCATACAAATAAGAGCCTCGCCATCGGCTGGGGCGCGATAGAAATGTAAAGGCAAGGCATTAAGAGCCTCCAAATCAATGCTTGGGGTTCGTTTGGCTGGGGCCAGTGCTCTAGCGTAGTGATAGTATATACATATAAGCATGATCCCTAAAAAGCCCAGTACTAAGACTAAAGCTACAAAGTAAGCCACTTCTCTTTGAAATCGGATTGGCGTTATAATGTGCAGCTCGGCACTCTGTAGTGTTTGGGCCCGTGAGCCAAGATCTTCTAAACTCTCGCGGCCACTGAGGTTTTCCAGTACAATAATCCCAAAACTAAGTCCGCTTAGTCCCAGTAGAACACTGGCCTTGGCTGGAGACTCGTACATTGGAATTACACAGCAGGGCAAGCCGATCCAGTTCAAAAACGCAATATCTCGATTGCTTAAGAAACTAGTGATAATGAGCAAACCTCGCCCTCCTAATCTATTCCACAAGGTCTTTTTAAGGTCTTTGATAACCCGGGGGATTGTGCCAAAGACTACTGGATCCTCATCTGAATCTGGCCAAGACTCCTTGGTCTCTTGTGATATGCCCGGCCCAGGCAAGCACCACTCTTCATCTTTAGCTACACCCATAAGATATTCTTCCACCGATCGCACTCCTGTGAAGACTAAGCGAACCCGCGATGTGTCATTATCGATTATCTTTAGATACTCCTGTCGAATATAAACATTGATTGGTTTTGAAACGGTCTTGTTTGTCTCGCCTTGCCGCAGCGTACTATAGACCAAACAGATCCTCTGAACCCCCTGTTCAACAAGTTCTCCATGCACTAATCCGATACTAATCCAAAATAACGCAAAGTAAGAGATAAATCTGGTCATTGTTTCTTGTTTTGGTTTTTTAATAATTGCAGACATATGTAAACACCTTTTAATCTAGACATATCTAAAGATATTTGAATAACCAAAACATAACTCTGCAATGCCTTAGTAGTTATCAGGTTTAATAAATCCTATTATGTTAATTTGAGTTAGTATTATGTTAGGATTATGATAGGATTGTGGTAGTGTTATGATAGTATTATGTTAGGATTGTGTTAAGATTGTGTTAGTGCTGTTTTAATGTTATGTTAGTGCTGTTTTAATGTTATGTGGGTGTTGTGGTAGCATTATGGTAGTATTATGTGAGTGTTAATTTGAGTTGGTGTTGACTTAGTATTGGATTGGTATTGTGTTAGTATTGCGTCAGCTATTATTGTGTTTGACATGTAAGCTATGCTTTAATAAAGAGTTACGAACCCAATACCACCACAACACCAACACAATACCACACCAACCCAACCAACCCAATACTAACTCAATACGAACTCAATTAAACTCGATCTGTTTATTGCACTTGGTCTAAACGAAACAATAAGCCGGCCTAGCAGCATGGGCTCTTTCTTTGAGTTAGTATTTGACCGAGTTAGATAGCATCGGCTGTGCCAAAAACTGCGCAGGATACGTGTGCTAAAACCCATAGAGTTTCTTCATCCTTGTCCCCTTGGTAGATCGGTTCTTTGCGTTGAATTTTGATCTTTTCTTCCTCTTGCATTAGATGCTTCATCTTCTGTCGTTGGTTCTGAAACCATATTTGGACAGTCCGAGGCTTCATGCCCAAAGAGGCAGAAATAGCTCCCCGGATATCAGCCGAAGGAAACGGGTTTATCTTAAAGTACTTCTTAAGTGACTCACTTTGGGTGGGCGTCATCACTGTGCGCACTCGCTTTTTATAGACCTCGCCGTTGGGCAAAATGTACGGTTTGTCCCCTAAAATAGATTCTTGTGTGTTGACCCAACTCGACTCTGAGTCCTGTGGACTGCTTTCCTCTGTCTGGTCCTTCTCCTCTACCACCCTTTTCTCAGTTTCCACGATGATTGCTTTTCGGTGTCTAGCTTCCATCTGTCTATTATCTCAGGTGCTATACAGGTATTTATATCTGGGTTAACCAATTGGACACATACGATCCAAACAGAGGTTTCTTGATAATAAACCAACAGAATCCCCAATTCCTAAAAGGTCCTTCGACGGCCATGTATTGGCTAGTGTGTTGCAAGTGTTTTAAGTTATCACCAGTACGTTATTGGGTTGGTGTTGAGTTAGAGCTTGGATTGGGTTAGAATTAAGCAAATCCAACTGTTGATTGGGTTGTGTTACGTTGGCTTGTGTTGTGTTATGATTAAATTATGATTGGGTGTTGTTTTGTTATATTTTGTTATTATGATGTATGTTTTGATAGGAAGCCAATTCAACTTAAGATGTAAAATACAACCATCCTAATAACCACTTAGCCCACACCCAACTTAATACTACTACCATTGCGACTACGATCTCAACTAATATGGCCTAACCCAAGTTGAGTTAGCATTAAGGTGGTGTTAAGGTGATATTAAGGTGGTATAGAGTTGGTCTCAACTTAATCCAAACTAACCCAATCTAAACTTAATCCAAACTCGATTCAATCCAATACAATTCAAACCATCCCAATCCAATTCAAACTAAACTAACTCAATCCAACCCCATTCAACTTAATCCATCCCAATTCAATCCAATCTAAACCATCCCAATCCAACTAAACTTAATTCAACCCAATACAATCTAAACCATCCCACCCCAATACTAACCCAATCCAACTTAATCCAAACTAAACCATCCCACCCCAATACTAACCCAATCCAAACTAAACCATCCCATCCCACTTCAATCCAATTCAAACTAAACTAAACTAAACTAAACTAAACTAAACTAAACCCTTTCATATTTAGAACTGAATATATGCTATTCTGTTTTTTCTTTTCAAATGTCCTTTTTGGGTAAAGAAACACAGATTACGTCATCTGGTCAGGCCTTAGCCCTTAATACGGAAGCAATATCCCAATTAGCCGCAACAATCAAGAATGGATTTGGACCAAATGGGGCCGTTAAGTTACTAATCACACCAGCTGGAGAGATTAGATTGGTTAAAGATGGCTTAACTTTATTGAAAAACATTCAACTTGCTCAACCCGGTGCTGTTCTCTTATCGAATATTGTGACTCAACAAGGTTCTGATTTTGGTGATGGTGTAACTTCAACTGTTATTTTAGCTTCAGCTATGCTTACTAAGTCTTTAGAGTACGTTTATGAAGGCATTCATCCCCAAACTATTATTGCGGGTCTTATTAAGAAAGAAGCAGAAATTCTGAGCAGTTTAGCCCAAATGAAGATCCCCATTACTGAAAATCAAGAGACCTTATCTCAACTTTTACTAACAACTTTAAGATCTAAGTTTTCAGCTACTCAAGCCCAAAGCTTTGCTGAAATCTTGATATCAGCCGTAAAAACAGTTACTAATCAAGATAATTCCGTTGACTTAAAGATGTTAGAGGTTATGAAAATGGTTAATATTGATTCAATTGAACCCTTAAGACTAATTAAGGGATTAGTACTTGATCATGGAGGCCGACATCCTATGATGCCTAAGAAACTTCAAAATGTCTTTATTCTTTGCACTAACCTTTCCTTTGAATACGAAACCACTGAAATCAAGTCACAATTTTACTACAAGAACACCAGGGAAAAGATGGCGATGGAAGTTGAAGAAAGAAAGGGACTGATGTTGCGTATTCAAAAGGTCATTGAAACAATGCAATCTTTAGCTATGGAAAATCAATCTCAAAATCCACAATTTATGTTGATTACGCAAAAAGGTATTGATCAGTATGCCCTGGAAGTCTTTGCCAAGTATAATGTACTGGCTTTGCGTCGGGCTAAGAAGCGTAATATGGAAAGACTGCAGAGACTGACTGGATGTAAACCGGTTAATTCTTTGGCTGATTTGACTAAAGATGCTTTTGGATTTGCTGGATCTGTGCGAGAAATCACTATTGGTGAAGATAAGTACACTTTTATTGAAAAGACGCCATTTAGTAATACTTGTACTTTGCTTATCCAAGGTATTTCGCCCTACCAAATGGAGTATCTTGAAGCAGCAGTTAAATCTTCTTTGCAAGCAGTGGCTAAAGGTATTGCGGATCAAGGAAGTTTACCAGGTGGTGCTTCTATCTTTTCTAAACTAGCTGGGCAACTTAAGCACGATGCAAGTCTTGACGACCAAATAGCAACTAGTATTTGGCAAGAGGCTTTACTTACACTGCCGAAGACGCTTACTAAGAATCTGGGGTACAATGCTTTACAAACTCAAGCCCAGATATCTAGTAGTCAGCATGCCCATCCTACTATTTCAACTAGTAATGGAGAAATTGTTGATGCACTGGAAAGCTCATTACTTGATAACTATTCGGCAACGGCTAATCTTATTCAGGCGGCACTAATGGCTGCTACTAAGGTTCTTATGGTTGATGAGATCATTAAGGGTGGTAAGGAGGTGAAATAAATCAAAAACTCTCTTGAGATTGGGTTAGTATTGTGTTTGGTTTGGGTTGGGTTAGTATTGTATTGGGTTGGGTTGTGTTAGTACTGTGGTTGGGTCATGTTAGTATTGTGATTGTAGTGCTGTTACCCAGCCACCACTCCTTCTTCACACCAAGTCGTTTATTCATTGTCCGATTGGGTTATTGTTGTGCCCCAGGGGAGGATAAAGACCTCGCATCCAAATATACTCAACGAGAAACAAATTAGGTTAGTATTGTGTTGGCATTGGGTTAGTAGAGAATTCAAATCATATCAAATACTAACTCAAACTAACTCAGTAGTAACTGGTATTATTAAAATTTAAGTATGACGTCATATTATCTTCTACCTTCAATAAATGGAACTGATTAGTATGTCGTATTGAGAAATGTCTTTAATAGAGTTTGCATTAGTTAAGATGGGTTTAGTATTGGGTACTATGTGATGGATTGTGTTTCTTCACTAGGAAACAATCTGATGTGTTATAATAGCTCATGTGAATAGTCAGTTGAAACAAAGAGTGTAGAAGACTCAAAGACACTATATGCCAAAAACATTCTTGGTTAAACTTACTCAACAACAACTTGATGCTTAGCAAAGGAGTACCAACCCAATACTAAGCCAATATACGATTGAAATGTATTAAATTGGAATGATATTGGGTTAGTATGATGATCGTAGATCATGGTTGGAGAAAGTATAAATGTAAGCTTTGAGGAGAGATAAACATAAATGAAGTTCTCTTTTGGAATGTTAGGAGTTAATCTGGCATGGTTGCTGGGTTGGAGTAGTGATATGACTAGTGATCAAATGACGGGTGCAGATAATAAGGCAGGTGGTCAAATGAAGATGGTTGGGACTGACATTATGACTGATGCAAGCAATAAGACTGAGATAAACTGGAAAGACCATTGCATAAAAACTGAGGATTATCAGTGGATAGGTGTTCGGGCAATTGAATATGATTCTAATCCAAAGTGTTCCAAGATGAAATTTAAGGAGGGGTATGTACTTGATAGTTATGAAGCACCAGATTATTATGTATGGAAGTGGAGGCAATTGTTAAAATTTGGGTTGTTAGGTGATTCTGACACAAACCGTATTATTACAATGATAAACAACTGCCACCTAATTCATAATCTAGATGCTAATATTTGTCCTAATGATCTTGAGAAAGACTCTCTATTGTATGCAATAGATAAAGTCATATCTGACTTTGAAAGGGGATATGCTCTAAGTCAAGGCTATATTGTTGAGTTTGAAAAGCTAACAAGGATTGCTCCAGGAGAGATTAGTCTCTCTATAATTGACTCATTGACGTGGGCTGGTGATTGGACGAAGCAAGCTGCAATCAACAATCTTATGATGAATTATAATCCTTTCCATATTTTCCGCATCTTTGTCCCGTTCGACAGGTTGACCACAGATCATATCAAACAGGCGATTGAAACTTGGAAGGTGCTTATCGAAAACCCAACCCAAACCAACCCAAATACTTGCGCCCAGAAACAACTTAGACACTTCTTGTACGATATATTACGGGTGCAGCTGGCACTCTCTATCTTTTCAAACCTTTCTAATCCATCTCTAAGTGTTTATCCTAATATCACAATCAGCAATGACGACCAGAAGTACATAGACGACATGTTGAAACTAAACATTGCTGATATGATAAAGAACATGCCAGCAGATGAAGCTGCTCAGGAGGCGCGAGAAAAACTATCGTATGGCTATAAATTACAATGGAGGTATGAATCGGCTTTTGTGCAACCTGATTATATAGATCGATTGAACGACGCCTTTATAATTATACACATTGCTCCCGAGAAGAACATTGTACTTGAAAATGGCAAGCAACTAATCGATGATATGAAGAAAGCAGCAAAATGGTTTGAGAGTGTAAAAGATAAGACAAAAAAGCTCAAAACCGTGCTTAGTCCCTACTTATCAAATACCAGAACCGCCTCTAGTATTCATGAGTGTGTAGAATATCTAACCACTAAGCCACCATCTACAGCCATTCCCAAATCCAACCACGCATCCAATTCTCCTACCACCCCCAAACATATAGCCAATCTCTTCTGGACCCACCTCCCCCATCTATTCGGACTGTCACCCAGATAGCTTGTTTACTCTACAAACCTCAACCCACCTCAACATAAGCAATAAATCGAACTGCCGCAATCTAACCGTTAACTTGGTTTAGTACTTGATTTAGTACTTGATTAGTTTATATTAGTTTATTATACTATATTCCATTTAACTTAGAAGATGTACCTCACTACTAACTCAACATAACTCAACTCAACACCACACTAACACTATCTACTTTTTCAAAATACACTGCTTAATAATCTCCCACTCTCTATCCTCTCCACCTACCACGCCCTCATTCTCAGCCAACTTAAACCGTTTAACTTTCTCATCCACACTATCCACACTCTCCTTATCCTCACCATCCTCACTATCCTTATCCTCACCACTACTAACACCACTACTAACACCACTACTAACACCACTCAACCTCTCCTTCACCAAAGCAATATCCTCCCTACTTAACCACCGCTCTAAACCCCGCCATACCTCTTCTTCTTCTTCACCACCACTCAAACCACTACTATCACCACTACCACCACCACTACTACTATTATCTACTATTTCCAAAACATCTCTTATTTCCTTTAGATTACGCAACTCCACTCCAATTTTCAATCCCTCTAAATTTCCATCAACCACCATCCCATACCCACTCACTCCCACCAATACAACTAAAACCCCATCTTTAACTACCATTACATCTTTTACATCTTTAACTATCCATATTCTCTGCATTTTTTTTAGGCCCCTGTATGGAACAAGTTCAGTCCCAAGATAATTCAATCAAGCTTTTCGGTCGTTTTTCTTATGACGACATAATAGTTAATGATTTATCTCTTAAGCCTTATATAAATGTTCAGACTCGTGTTTCTGTCCCACATACGGGCTCTAATTGCAGTCAAAAGGCCTTTTCAAAAGCAGGAATGCCTATCACTATGAGATTAGCTCATGGTTTAATGCGTCATGGTCGTAATACTGGTAAATCTCTTCTGGTTCTTAAAGCTATCAAAGACGCCTTTATTATCATAGAAAGATTAACTAAGAAGAATCCTTTACAGATCTTAGTTGATGCTTGCATTAATGGAGGACCTCGTGAACATACGGCTAGAATAGGTAAGGGTGGTTCTGCTAAAAGATCTTCAGTTGATGTTTCACCTTTACGTCGTCTTAACTTAAGTATTTCTACTTTGACTACTGGTATGCGTCGGGCTGCTTTTAAAGGTGCTAAGACTTTGCCAGAGACGATTGCTGAGGAGCTTATTGCGGCTGCTCGTGAGAATCCTAACTCATTTGCAGTTAAGAAACGAGATGAAATCGAGCGGGTGGCTAAATCCAGTCGATAAATAAACGGGTTAGTATTGAGTTGAGTTTTAGTTTGGGTTGAGTTGAGTTGAGTTGGGTTTGGTATTTGATTAGATTGAGTTGTGTTGGTTTGGTATTAGTGCTAAAATTTGAATTATGACGTCATCTTCTTTGGTGACGTCATTTTATTACTTATTGCATTGGGATTGTTAGATGCCCATAATAAATTGAGTTAGTTAAGATAAGGTTGGTATTGAGTTGGGTTAGATTAAGTAAATGTAATGTTGTTATACAAATCAATCTAGTCTAATCTAATCTAATTGTGGTGTTCAGAGTATCTACCACCATTCTATTGGGTTAGTGTATAAGTTGTGTATTGCATTACAGTATGTTTCACAGGAGATACACACAAGTTAGTAGTGGGTTGGGTTGAGTTAGATTGGGTTAGAGATTGGTAGAGGACAACTCCAAACTATAACTACATGATCTATTTGGTTTAAGAAGATACCAACCCAATTTGATGCTATAACACGCCATACCCAATGTTGATACTTTATTCAATAAATCTGAAGAATGTCCAGTTTGATTATGTCTTAGTTGGGTTAGTATTGGTTGGTATTGAGTTAGTATTGGTTGAAAACGGCGTGTAGCCACTTACCAACCCAAACTAACTCAAGTAGTGAGTAGTGAGTAATGATCAGATTGATCGAATTGGTATTGGATAGTGGTCTTTTGACAGCACTAAACTAACTCAACTTAATATTAACCTAACTAAACCTAACTAAACTGATATTGATCAGTTGTGGCTTATAAATAAAGATGCCGAGTTGTAAGGTTGTAAAATGAATCGAAGTATGAATGCGTTAGTATTAGATGTTTATCGAGTGATTTACTTGTTGGTTGGTTTGTGTTTGGTTTGGTGTAGTACAAGTAGTGATTCTGAAGAAGTTTGTGCGCATATAGGCGAACACGCGCTACAGCAAATCAATAGAATAGTAAAGATGACCATGCATTTCCTTAACTTGCATATATCCCATGAAGACCGAATATTCGTAATCAAGAATCACAACATAGGCCAATGCATTGCTAAAGTGGTAGAATCAAAAGGACATATGGACCAGAACTTAACCCGAACCAACAACGACTATTTCGGCCCACTTATGAAGGAGTATGAACGTATAATAGATCACTCGCCATCTCTAGTGGTTAGAGAAGTGCTAATACAGAAAAGTGCCGCGATAATAGCCCAGAAACTATTAGGCTACATAAATGGCTGTCTTGATGGTAAGTGTGTGCATAGCGATAAACTTAATGAAATATCGAATGTAGTAACTCGGGTGTTACAACTGAGCACGATTAAGCTTGATCATACGACTCTAGAAACACAACTGCAATCAACTAAACTCAAGCGAACAGCAACAGAGATAGAGGAAAAAATAGCCAAGATTGAAATCGAAGTAATCAGACTAGCCAAAGGCTACGATTCCAATGCATTATACGAGCGATACAACGAAGCCGAGAAAGAAGAAGAAGAACTAACTCAATTACTGAAAAAGGACGGTCTTACAACAATACTCGAACTACTCCAAAAATCGGAAGAGAATGTAAGAAACAGAGCATCTAAAGATAGGCGGGAAATCGTAGATAGAGTAGAAGCAGTTATAGACGCTATACGCCCAAAACTAAACAAATTAAAGAGAGATGATCAGTCCGTAAGTAATATTAGCGAATCCGATTGGGCGATCTTCGAAACGATATCCCAACAGAAGAGACATAAAGAAAAGAGGGCCCTAAAAGTAACTTATCTTAAGTCCATAAGATCACAACTATTCAGCATAATGGACCAATTAAATAACTCCCAAGTAAGTTATCTTACAATTTGCAGTAAGGAATCAAATGACATTCAATACGATCTAGCAGCTTGTGATCCCGATCATCTTAATCTTGGGTTAGATGGAGAAGGTTGTACAATTGATTTAACCGATGAGCAAGGAAGGCTTCTTAAGAAGTTGCAAAAAAGCACATCATGCAATGGTTCTGCCCCTGTTTGTAAATTGTTTGATGCCAACGAAGTTAATAATATCAGAACGTATGA